TGGTACACTGATTTACAACGATGAGAGTTCATGGAAACATGAATTACTAGTTAGTAAACAACAACAAACAGCCTCAGGCAATAAATACTTATAAATGATGTATGTACCTGTAACTTGCTTATTGTGGGTCCTCTAACAATGAAACTTGGTACACTGATTTACAACGATGAGAGTTCATTGAAACATGAATTACAAGTTTGTAAACAACAACAAACAGCCTCAGGCAATTATATGCTGTTTTTCCTATAACTTTGTACTTTACTTTTTATATGGACATTATGCCCCAATGCATGTGCATGGCGTAAATAAAGGAAAGGAGATAAGAAAAGAAAAAATTATGCGAATTAAAAAAGTGTGGAATATAGGGATGCCATAAAAAGCAAGGAGACAAGACAGGGATGACCTGGGCATGTGATGCTGTAGTACAGTGGGATGATTGTAACTGACATTTCTTGCTCATGTAAATTTTACTCCACACAAGCCCTATATTATCGTATGATGTGCAGCTATGACTCGAGATTGGTAGTAAATGCCCTCTCTGACAGGTCCTCAGTTTTGAATCATGACTGTGTTTACTTCAATGTTCGCTGAACTAACCGGTTTTACAATGCTGCTTTCCCTACAGAATTAGTTTGCCAGTCTTCACACTCCATTATTCAAAACTCACATCATGAGTAAAAGTGGCGACAATATAGGGCTTGTGTGGAGTAAAATTTACATGAGCAAGAAATTTTAGATGTAACAATCATCCCATTGTACTATTGCATCACATGCCCAGGTCATCCCTGTCTTGTCTCCTTGCTTTTTATGGCATCCCTGTATTCCACACTTTTTTAATTCGCAGATTTTTTTTTCTTGTACAAAGTTTCGTTCACATACCTCTTACCATTTGCAAGTTACACTGACAAATGTGATTCCATTATAATGTATTGCCTGGGGCTATTTGTTGTTGCTTGCAAAGAAATAAGTATGACCAGTCTCTTCGGGTGACGGATATCTACGTTCTTACAAAATTTCATTACTATAATTATGTCATTGTGTTTTTGAGTTACACGGGTTGAATCTGAAGAAGAAGAAGATGAACAAAACTCCCTGTCATAGCCCAATAAATCTATGATGCTAGGTATAATTATACGTACCATGCCCATCCCTATGTACTTACTAAGTACTACCATCCTTAGTGATAAATCATGTAGCTGTGCATCGATCATACCATGGAGCACACTCGTATTTTGCGACAATATTGGGCTTTGTGTGGAGGAAATTTTACACCAGCAAGCAGTGTTAGTATGTAGCCATCTGCATCGCGTTCACTATAGGTCATCCCTGTCTTGTTGTCTCCTTGAGAAGATGATCCCTATCATAGCCCCATACATCAATGATGCTAGGGCGTAGCATACAAGTTAATTAAAAATCCTGTGCATAAGGATGGTATAAAAAGAAAGGGAGACAAGATAGGGATGGGATACATGAAGCATGGATAATGAACATATTTGAGCACACTGACAATAATTAACCCTCGGCGCGCATGCGCGGCGAGGGTTACAGTTCTTGGGTCTGTGTGTCTGTTACTCTCAATCTCACTTCTCGGGTGTTTGTTCGTCTCACAAAGGATACCACCTACTGAATGGGCAATGAAGGTCAGAAATTTTCGAACGGTTTTCTCTGAAAACGCTCCGTTGAAAAGCCAGAGCGCGAAAAAGCCAATATGCAAATACACAACGGCTTACTTACTACGGCATGATCGACCCGCGTGCTCTGCGTACCTCGGAGTCACCAGCAGATGCAACGCAGGGCGTGTATCGCCTCTCGCATGCTATCTAGTAGTGTAGTTAGACCGCGTCAGACTCTGCGTGAGCTGGCAAGAGACCACGAGTAACAGCTAAAGCTAAACCCAGCCCATCAATCAGTGGTACGGCGCATGCGTTTACTTACGATTGTGCGTCACGCACTTCAGTGCTTTTCATTAACCCTCGGCGGCGCATGCGCAGCGAGGGTTACAGTACTTGGTTTGTCCGTCTGTCTGTCTGTCTGTCTGTCTGTCCGTCTGTTACCACGTTTTCTGCCACCACGCGCAACAAACAGGTAAAATAGCGACACCAACGGGTTCAGCGCTACACAGGCTTGATTTTTAAAATGGCGATTTTCGTAAAAGTGCCGCGTTCAGAAGTTATGGCGTGAAAACCAAGTGAACAAGCCAATATGCTAATTAGCACTAGCTTACCTCGACCTGATCCGCTTGCTCTGTGTACCTCGGAGGCACAAGAAGCCACAACGAAGGGCGTGTATCGACTCCCGCATGCTATCTACTACTGTAGCTATCCCGTGTCACACTCCGCGAGCTACTAGCGGGAGATCACGAGTAAATAGGCCCAGCCCATCAATTAGCGGTACCGCGCATGCCCAGTTCGCCGAGGGTTTGCACTTCAGTGCTTTTTCATTATTATAGGGATTGCGTGATGGGGTTGGGGTGTCAGTGTGCTCAAATCTGTTCATTAACCATACTTCATGTATCCCATCCCTCATGTATCCCATCCCTATCTTGTCTCCCTTTCTTTTTATACCATTCCTATATGCCTCTTTTTTTAATTAATGCGCAGGATTTTTAATTTACTTGTACTTCGTAGGGATGGGCATGGTACCTAGCATCATAGATGTATGGAGCTATGTTAGGGAGTTTTGTTCATCATCTTCTTCTTCTTCCTCCTGCAACCAGCATAACTCAAAAACAGATAAAGCCATGAAGTTTTGTAGGAATGTACATATCGATAACCACATGGGCAACGTCATGCTTTTTTGTTTGTAAACAACAACAAATTTGCCCTAGGCAATGGGCATACTAGATGTGTCAGTGTAGTAAGAGCTACGTGAACGAAAGTTTGTATACACAATGTATTCGAAAGCCAACATCAAAATCACAACAAAACATGTTTGTAAACAATAACAAATAGCCTCAGGCACTTTTCTTTCAATTTACTTCATCACTTCTCAAGCTTTTCAATGGTAGAATGCATAGAGATGAAACTTGGTATGTATGCCTATTATATCATTTCCATGACGATTACATGTTTCCATGACGACTGCATTTTGTTTGAAAAAGCCTCAGGCAATTTTCTTTTAAAACTACTTCTTCACTCCTCAAACTTGCTAACTGTATATAGCACGCATGGAGGTGAAACTTGGTGCGCATGTGTATTACATCATTTCCATGACAACCACGACAAATAGCTTCAGGCACTTTCTTTAAAAATACTTCTTTACTCGATCCTCAAACTGTAGCACACATGGAGGTGAAACTTGGTATGTATGCCTATTATACCATTTCCATGACGATGACATGTTTCCATGACGACTGCATATTGTTTGAAAAAGCCTCAGGCATTTTTCCTTCAACTACTTCTTCACTCCTCAAACTCGCTAACAGTACCACGCATGGAGGTGAAACTTGGTACGCATGTGTATTACATTGTTTCCATGACAACCATAACAACAAATGGCCTCAGACAATTTTCTTTGAAACTACTTCTTCACTCCTCAAACTTGCTAACGACAGCACACATGGAAATGAAACTTGGTATATACACATGCGTATTACATCATTTCCATGACGACCACAGGCATTTTTCTCTATTTTTTTATAGGGGCTTGCCCGCTTTCACACAGATATTCGTAGTAGTATATAAAAATGAGTGGAGACAAGTAAATTAAAAATCCTGCGAATTTAAAAAGAAAGGGAGACAAATAGGGATTGTTGCCTAGGCGAAGTATTAAACATTCACCATTACAATACTCAGAACTTAATAGTCATGCTACTGAGTAACCAACACTAGAGTCCAAGTGGAGTTTAATTAAAGCGACTGTCGCAGTATAAAAGTAGAAATGTACTAAAAACAACAGGGGACGGTGAAAGAATGCTTGCTTTCGCCCTTATAATTATTATAATGCTATAAGAGTAACACACCAGAACAATATAGGGATTGTGTGATGGGGTTGGGGGTGTCATCTGTTCATTAACGATGCTTAATGCCACTGAGTAACCAAGAGTACAAATGGCACACCAGGCAACAAATAGGGATTGTGTGATGGGGTTGGGGTGTCAGTGTGCTCAAATCTGTTCATTATCCATGCTTCATGTATCCCATCCCTATCTTGTCTCACTTTCTTTTTATATCATCCTCTTTTTTTTATTTTGCAGGATTTTAATGACGGTTTATCATAAAATCAGCTGATTAGCTTGTGTGTGGGAGTTCCACCTCATAGCATGTTCAGGACATACATGCAGCAATATTGCTCAGAGTACCACAACCAACAATCTTAGCAGTAAATAATCAGCCCCAGTCGCAGAAGTCACCAGTTAATTCGTGTAGGTGTACTAGTGGCTCCGCCCAGTGCTTCTTAGCAGTAAATAAAACTATGACACCCACTTGCTATCTGCACTTGCAAACCCACAGATTGATCATTAGCCTCACCACTAAGTGTGTGCAGGCTTGTGCACGTGACAGTTGAGAGATAGGAAGGATCATATCCATGCCAACCCTCCCACACTCAAAGATGAAACCACCACACACCACACACCGTACACTCACCAGCCGCTGACCACATGAGCCACTGCATTATGCAGGAAACAGGCTGCAAACACATCCGGCATACATGCCATAACTGGTAATATCAGTGTCCTAAAACCAGTTTCCTACCTGTAAAACCTTTTTTTTTTGCCTATAAGACAGTCTGCCGGCAGATGTCAAGACCTCCGAACTCAAAAGCCGCATGACTGAAAAGCCGCCTGACTGAAAAGCCACCTGTCAGTTACTAAAGTACTGTAACTGTTGCGTTACAAGTTTTGTGGGCAAGCGCGTTACGAGCACGTATGACCACGCCCCTTTCATTTAGTATATATACGCTATACTACGCCGACGATTGCGTTACGCGTCGCGCGATAGCGCCAGAGGTCACGGTGACCACGCCCCTTTCATTTAGTACGCAGTGCCGTTTTTCCTACCTGATCCACAGATACTACTAAACTCAGCCTATCCCTTGGGCCTTCTTCTCTCTCTCTCACTCTGGAGTAGTGTCATGAAATTGAAATTTGAAAAATGAAGTCACACTTGGTGTTTCCATCAGAGAGTAGCTCATAATGCAGCCAATGGCTTATGCAATATACACCACACCTGTGTAACTCTCTCTTTTGTCTCTTTCTCTCTTTCCCTCCCTCTCTCTTTCTTTGCAGGAGACACGGATATCCGGAGACACTCCCCAATATCCCGTAAGTGTGCCATTTCACTGCATCACTCTATACTCAATATTTTACCATAGCCTTAGATTGAAAAGAGCAATCAGTGGAAATTACATTTTGCCTGTATTCCCCTTTTTGTCACAATATTCCTGTCATCTAAGAGTAGACACTAATGCAGCACTATATTATGCAAGCTTTGACACAGTTGTGATGTAAAATCTTCCCCCTGTATGAGCTGAAGAATGAGTGACCACACATTCTGAACCACATTGTGTAATGGCATTGATCTGCAGCATTTCTAAAAGAGCAATCAGTGGAAATTACATACTTTGCCTGTATTGCAAATTCCCCTTTTTGTCACAATATTCCTGTCATCTAAGAGTAGACACTAAGCACTAAATTATGCAAACTTGTGCAAGCTTTGACACAGTTGTGATGTAAAATCCGCCCCCTGTATGAGCTGAAGAATGAGTGACCACACATTCTGAACCACATGACTGTATTTCCACGAGCCATCCTAGCTTATTTACAACTTGAACCTTCAAAGATTGGAAAAGGGGTATATACAGCCTCAGGTATCGAAGAGCGAAGCGAATGCCAGACTAGAGTTCTTTCGCTGGCTAGATTTCGCATGGATATGACAGCCAGGCAGCGTGTAAAATAAGCCCGTGCCCTATCACGCAAGCGACACTGATACAGTCGAACTCTCTGCTCAGGAGTCTCACGGGCACGATGTGGACTGATGCATGATTGCGAGAGTACGGAGCTACACAGAGGCGTATACGGACATATATTATATTTACGCACGACATTATGACAGGCTGCCGGCGGCGTGTGAAAATTTTGAAATCCTTTCGGATAAAAAGACGTGCGTAATCATGGAGCATGCGCAGTTGGATGACATACGGTCTTAGATAAATATATTCTCCATTAGACAAAAACAAATAGCCAGAAAAAAGGGAAAACAAAGGAAAATTATATAGAAATTCAGCGCCGTTCGTACCACTAGGTTAGCTCGCTCCCACTCGCCAAGCCTATCCCTTGGGCCTTCTCTCACTGTACTATACACCACATACATATATAAAACCTTCTTGAGTGGCATACACCATACACAAAAAGGGAGGATGAGTACGTAGAGAAAAACCTGCCAAAGTGCACTACAAATACACTGTACAGTGGTACTGCCCTCCTCAGGCAAACAAATGATAAATGAGCTACTAAAAGAGTAAGAGCGGGGACTAAGTTAGTTTGGCGTTTCTCCGACACCAGATCTTGTATGATTCCTGGATCACTAGGTAGCTGACGCGAGTCAGAAACTGCGTAAGGACCCGCTTACCGATGTTGAGTTCATGCTTGAGATGTGAAAAGCCGGCCTGGTCAACAATCCCTCTCAATCCCACTTGGAGGGTAATCAGGCGACCACTGTACCCAGCTGATCTGGCCCTTGCCATCATATCTTCATACTTCAGCTCTTTACGCTCTGCTGCATGGTGGAAGGAGGTCTCGAAGCAGATAGTGAGCTCGATGAGCACAATCCTCCGCAGTGAGTCATCCCACCATACGATGTCCGGGCGTAGATCAGTGGCCACAATATGCTGAGGAAATGTGTAGGATCCCAGGTCAGCACACAGCTTGGCAGGTGGGGAAATATGGGCTGACAGGAGGGAAGCAATTTCCGCAAGAATGGCATCATGGCGGGTATTGAATCTTCGTCCATCACGGGCCGCTTTGCATGTGTTGAGGACATGAATCAGAGTCTGCCTCTCACCACACAGGGGACACAAGTCATCATTGCGCTTCTTCCAAAGGAAGAGATTTGCATTGTGCGGCAGGGTATCTACTGCACTGTTCAGAGCAAACTTCAAGTGCTCATCCAACGCTCCGTCAAGGGCTTTTGCCCATATTCTCGCTCCTTCAGGGGATGAACAACGCGACATGTGACCCTGTTTTCCAAGTTGTTGGAGAGAGTTGAGGTGTCGGTCGTTGTCATCTTCACTGACCAGCAGTTTAGTCGCTGCTGCCAGACTCCTCCTGGAGAAATCTGGATTGTGGACCATGACCTCCCTAACCTCCTTGCTGGCTTTAAACTTTGGTCTGGAGAGTGCGAGGTCTTTCTGGAGGGCTCTCTCAGCCATGAGCCGAACACAGGGGTCAGGTGAGGTCAGCAAGTGAGACTGACGGGAGACTTGGAGCTTCTTGTGAACTAAGGAGGGGAGGGTGAGGTTAAGGCCTCCATTCTTCCCTGGGAGGTACAGCAGGGCGTTGTGGGCTGAGCGGGCAAGGCCTGACCAGCTCTTCAGGAACCTTGAAGCCAGTGAGTCCAGACCCTTCCTTACCCACGAGATGGGGAACTCCTCCACAGACAGCTGCCACATGAGACGTGGACACACCCCTGATCTGTACAGCAGGAGCTTTTGCTTGCGGGTAAGAGGGCAGGCATCGACCTTGGCTAACATATCCTCGAACTTAGACGCAAGCTCAGCTCGGGACTTAGACTGGTCAGGTGGAACATCAATGGCCAGGCCCAGAAACTTGACTCCATTGGGAGCATACGGAACTTGCTGGTTGTTGAGGGAGAGGCATGGGTCAATCTTCTTCCCAGTCAATGCCTTCTCATCTCTCTCTCTCTCTCTCTCTCTCTCTCTTTCTCTCCCTCTCTCTCTCTCTCTCGTGTGTGAAACGTCTTCATTGCAATGCATGTACAACATCACAAATGAGGCGTGGGTGATACACCAAGGTGAATGACTTGCCAAAGTGACGTACAAAATCACTGCACAATACCTTGGACCCACAATTATAGATTATAGTCAGTAGCATACACGTAATAGGGGGGAAAGGGGGGAGGGGGTTGGTCTATAGTTTTCTGTTCCTGGAACACCAAATGTTGAAGGAGTTGATGAGGGCTGCTCTCGTTACCCGTCGCAGTAGTTGCTTCAACTCCTTCTCTGGCACTCCTAGCATGTCCGTCATGCTCTTGATGCTCTCTAGATCTGGAACGCCACGTGACCCGACCTGTATAGTGAGTACGGTAGTCCGATACCCATTGAGCCTGGCCTGCTCTGCCAAGTCTTCATACTTGGCTGCTTTCCTCAGTGCTACTTTGTCATAATTAGTCTCGTAGCAGACTGTCAACTCCACTAGGCACAGGACTCTCGTGGTATCGTCCCACCAAACCAGGTCGGGCCTCAGGTCGGTAGGGGTGATGTGTACTGGGAAGCTGTAGTTGTCACTGATATCCGCTGTCCATGAGGATGTTATTGGTAGATGGGGGACCACTGACTTCACAACTTCCTGCAGTACAGCATCGTGGCGTGTATTGTACCGTCGCAGATCTCTGCCACAGCACAATTGTTCAGTACATGCAGCAAAAACTGGCAGCAGTTGCACAGGGGGCAGTTTGGATCTTTTCTCTTCTTCCACCGATACAGATTTGCGTTGTGTGGCAGAGTGTCAACTGCTGCATTTAGGGAAAACCTCAAAATCTCGTCCGGTAGCTCACGAACCACACCAGCCCAAACTGGGGCACTCTTCGGGTCTAAACACCTGCTCATTAACCCTCGGCGCGCATGCACAGCGAGGGTTACTGTAGTTGGGTTTGTCTGTCTGTGTGTCTGTTACTCTACATCTCACCTCTTGAGCGTCTGTTCGTCCCAGAAACGATACCATTTACCCAACGGGAAATGAAGGTCAGAAAATTTGTGGGGTTTTCTCTGAAAATGCTCCGTTGCAAAGCTAGGGCGCTTCCAGCATTGTATGGCTAATGGCGGTAGTCGCCATTTTATCGCTGGCGGATAATGCGCATGCGCTTGTATTGCACAGGCTTCGACGGGGTCCGCTTGCTCTGTCTATCTTGAAGGCACAAGAAGTCACAACAAATGGCGTGTATCGACTCTCGCGTGCTATCTACTACTGTAGCTAGCCCGTGTCAGACTCTCTGTGAGCTACTTCGCCGAGGGTTTGCACTTTAGTGCTTTTCATTTGCTCTTGCTGCTCCAGGCTCTGCAGATTTCCCATCATCGAGGAATCCTCGTCCTCCTTCACGACCTTCTTTGCAGCTCTGGAGAGGGCTCTCCTGCTTCCAGCAGGGTTGGTTGCAATGATGTCTGTTGCGAGAGTTGCCGGCCTGAACTTCTTTCTCACCACACCCAGTTCACGCTTCAGGTTGCGGTCAGCCAAAAATCTCACACAACCGTCACAGGACATCAATAGTTGGCACTGACGCGACACTTGAAGCTTCTTGTGGAGAGTGGAGAGGCGAGGGAGGTTGAGACCACCCATGGCATTGGGGAGGTACAAGAAGGCAGTGTTGCCGGACCTGCAGAGACCAGTCCACTTCTTCAGGTACCTTGTAGCCAGGGAGTCAAGCTGTTTCTCCAACCAGCTGATGGGAAACTCGTGTGTCAGGAGTGGCCAGGTCAGTCGAGATGTTATGCTTCACAATTTTCACATCCAGAGCTTATTGTACCAGTTCACCCATCTACTTCTATTGTCTGCTGGTATTGCTGTTACTTATGTCTGTGTTACAGAAACAGGCTGTAAGTGTGCCCAGATGCTCTGAAATTGTCTCCTCTAGTGCTTTTCCTGCACTTTTAGCTACTGTTTTTTTCCCACCAATCCCTGCTGGTTCCTTTTCAACCTAATTGCTCTCAAGTTTCCATATTGCTTATAACAGCATCATACATCTCCCCTAGAATGTCGCGAAATTGAAGTGGCCAACACTGAGAAACAACCGTTTAGCTTTTTTTTCCAGTTTGGTTTACATTCTATTTTTTAATGCATTCTTGCGTCTTTCAGATAATTCCTCCTCCGAAAAGAGTTAAAGTTTACAACGTGTAAGTGTAGCAGCATTACTCAGGTGCATTGTAGGTTTCCTCTATGTTGCATATTTATAGCCATCCTGAAGCTGTTGCACTTGGATGGGAGACAAAGGGGAATAAACTAACAGTGTCAGCAGGAGTAGTGAATGGCATGCAACTACCTGGAGAACCTCATTTAACTCAAGTACCATCGACCTTTGATGGGTTGATTGATGTCAAGACATTGATTCTGACATCAGAAGCGCAAAAATTCGTCACAATAGCGGCAACACTCCAAAGAGTGTCAGACGGGATGATGAACTTCAGGGGGTTTGTCACTGAGCCGGCACAGCAGGAAAGGTCTGACTCTGACCCTGAACAAGATGAGGAAGACGTATGTTTATCCACTATACTTCATTCCATACATGTGTGTATGTATACTACAGTTCTACCCTGCAATTGTACCTGTACTCGAGGAGGCGGCGGTGAGTGTGAACTACTTTGTCCTGTGCTTTCCTGCACACTATTGGAACACACAAATGTTTCTTCTAAGGAGGGCTGTGTACCGAAGTAACACTCTTCACAATACTATCTGCCATATCAATAGGAAACTAAAATCATTCACCTGAGCCCCGAAAGTTCGTAGCTGCAGTTCATTTGCCGACAGAAGTGTACACCCAACACCTCACATACTGGCAAAGCAAGCCTTCCACAAGCTTTTTCAGTCCAGGACTGGGACTAGAGGTAGCTAGAAAAACAGCTGGAAAGCATAGGCTACAAGGTGCACAGTAGTCTCGTGCCCAGACCACTTTTCATGGGGGAGGGAAAAAGGTGGGATGGATCTGGCAGAAGGAATGCAGGCACTGCATGCACTTGTCACATGGCCATAATCAACATTCTACTGGTCCACACGCACCCCACTTGAACTACCAGACCATCTTTTTCCCCTGAAGACAGTCTGGGTACAAGACTAGGTTAGCAGGTTCAGTGTCTGAGACTGTTTGGACAGCTACTCTACCTGTTGCTCCCTATGGAGTGAAACCTAGAATGGTAGCTAGGCTTAGCAACCAAAATAACAGTCTTCATAGACATGAGTTCTTGCTCACAGAAGACCTGGCCTTCAGTGAAGCCTGAAACTTGCATGCATAAGAGGGTGCATACATTCTTGGTTGTCAATGGCAACCGTACAGCTAATGCATGCATGGTAGCTGTATCACCAGAGTGGAAAGTTGCGATGGTGTTAGTGTTTTATAGCAAGCTATGACAACCTTTTAGGGGGCTCAGGTGAACTTAGTGTTGCTGATTCCTTTTTGTGCATGCTTTTTTCTGTTGCCTTCCTTTCCGCAGGTGTATACCCTGAAACACTATGTAAAAGAGTTTCAGTTGGCCAAGAAAAATGTGCTGTTGATGGAGTTTTACAACTCATGGGGAAAGGATCTGATTGAATCTATCATAAAGGCTCTGTGTTGCCACATCCCCGACCTAATCTGGTATAAAGGAATAGCAGCACAATAGGTTAATGTTTTTGCTTACAGTAAACACAGTACAGGGATGGGAGTTGCCCAACCTGGGCACTCGGTGTATTGGCTACAGGAGGAAGAAACTGAATCAACGAGTGATGTTGTCGTCCTCCACCAGACATTGAAACAAATTGTGCTGGTGTGCGAGGTACATATATGCACTGGTGAGGGGATCATTTCTCACTGAAATCAAAAGGGATGTTGGGATGTTGCATGATAAAAAGTACGGAAAAGGATATAACAAATTGGATGTGAAACAAGCAAGTGATGCTCTTTTGTTGTTCTCCCTCAGTAAAATGTATATATCTTGCCCATGTAAGGTACTTTAGTGCCATAGTTTTCCCCTACATGCCTTTGCATTCCCTAACAAGTGCACTGGTGCAGGTTCCTCCCAGCAGCACCAACAATTCCACGCATGTCACTACAGAAACCTGCGTCAAGTTTTTTCATCCTTACTGAGATTGGAGGCTTTTGTCACGTGAGATTTTACCATAGTATCCCTACTTGGAGTGTACGATAAGGGGATGTTTGTACAAACGATGCGTCTTCCAACAACGGAGGTTACAGAGCTATTGTATGTCATTGACCACACCACTGGTTGGAGCTGAGTGTTTCCTGGTTTTCCAGGTGAAGAGAGAAGGAGAGAAATTGGAGGGGGGAACAAACCAGATGATCCGTCAGGTGCTCAGTTTGTGGCGACCAGGCCAAAGGAATTGTATCGGAATAGTGCTGAGAGGCCCAGAGGTATCACCAATCCTCAGCGTGCATCCGCATGGGTGGAGTGGGGAGTGGGCGTATACATGTATGTGTCTGTCACATTTTCACAACCACATGTTCTAAAGTGCAAATCCCTTGGTACAGAGAGAATGTGTTTGTGTGTAGTATGTGCAAGAATGAAGTGCTGCTAATCGAATGGTTGTGTGGCCCAGCTACTCAAGCTCACGAAATCAAGCTGAAAAGCCCCGTCTGCTGTTGGCATAGGCATAGGCATAGGTAGACCAATGACAACTAAGTTGCTGATATTAGGGAACATACATTACATATTCTAGTGCTTACATTTCCTGATTTTAATGATTCGTTTCCAGCATTTTTGTCATGAATTGTGGTTGTTCGCCACATGGCCGTGCATGCTTGTTTGCAGTAAACTGACAGGCATGTACATACATACACTCACAAATTTCACCAAGAAAACGATACTCCCTTTTCCTGCAGGCTGTTATCTATAATTTCACAAAGACGGACATAATGGCCATTGATAAGGTGTCTGTGTGCAAGCTCTTCGATGAAGTGTACAAGCTGGCCTTAACTCTGGGATTCTTGCTGCACAAAAACAAAGGTTGGACATTCATGCATAATTGAGCACTATTAACCACAATGCAATTTTTGTCTGCAGCCACTCCACAGTAGTCCAGACCACCACACAGAACTATCTCTGTGATGTACTATATCTCTGTGTTGTATATACTTGGGGAGCCCCCCTTATTGGATGGTACAAACCGTGTTTGAGCCACAATGCAGATTTTGTCTGCAGCCACTCCAAGCTGAACTATCTCTGTGATGTACTATTATCTCTGTGATGTATATACTGAACTATCTCTGTCATGGGGAGCCCCCCTTATTGGATGGTACAAACCGTGTTTGCTATTGCACTCATGAGACTAGCACACATAGTACAATGTGTAGTAAAATGGCAGTAGAATGAGCACAATGGCAGTAGAGTGGACAGTAGAATGGCAGTAGAATGAGCACCAGTAGAAAAAGTACCATTCTTCTGTCCTACTGTCCATTGTGTATCCTAAGGTGTTGCTTCCTCCGAGTGAGTGAACCGCTTCCCGCAGTAGCCAGTGTATGCTGGTTGATAATACTGCAAACCTGAATAGGAAAAAAACAACATACATGGACTGTAGACAATGAAAAGTTTATGGACTGAGGTTTGCAAGACCGCTTAGCAAAGCGCAAGATGGGTGACTGTAAAGAAACACAGAATCCAAAGGAATCGTTCACAGCAAACACACTCTCTCGAGAAAGCCACAGCGTGGAGACCATCAAGTCTCTTGTGAACCGACACATGTCTGAACTGCACTCATAGACACAGGCAACCACACATAAATATTAGGATACCCCAACAGCAGAACCCATTGAAAAATAAACAGGCTTGGAGCAAGCTTGTTCAATACAGCAGTCAGTTATATTACAAGCCTGGCCTTCCCAAGTCAATCTTGTTCAAGCTTGTGGCAACAACAAGCTTGCTGCAGTTCATTGTATCACACTTGAAACAGATTCGAACATGCTTGTGTCCACACTGAATAAGGTTGTATGGATGATTTATTTACTCAATACAATTAGGAAATTTTGCGACATCTGTACCACTAAATGACATAAATACCTTTGCATCTATGGGTACAATAACAATAGGGCCCAGAACGTTATTATGATGTAGCCTGGTACATACTGTTTGCGCATGCGCTGAATTTTCCCAACATTCCAGGAATCTCGGATATCTCTGTGTTGGTTAATCTCGCATAATTTCAGTTTTGAGAGACGGCTCAGGAGACATGAACGAGTTCGATAAAGCTGTTATGTATGCTCTCCAGCGTTTGCACTCTCCAGATTTGCAGCTGAAAAATTAGCAGGAGAGCTCCCTTAGAGCTGTATACAGCGGAAGTTTCGTTCCAGTTATTGCACTTATGGTCTCTGGGCATTTCTCCATACGTGCAAAGACAGTTGGAAAGTGAAGCAAAGAGTAGAGCATAAGACTTATAGGAACATCAATCGGGAAATAACCGAGATGTGTAAAAACCCACCCACTCTCTGTAATCCATCATGGACAACATTATTCATAACACTGGCTTACCTACTACAGTATATGGTAGGTGGTGTATTGATATGGGCCGATGTGTCTTGGTGGTATTGTTGCAGCCACGCCTGACATTCCGGGTCTGGCACATCATACATGACACAATGGCTGGATATCCCAATGGCTCCTTAGAATCACGCAATCAAGCTATAGCTGGGCCTCAGCTTTATACCTAGCTAGCTCTCACAAGTATACCAAGTAGAACTCACAGCTAAACGCACTACTCTATAGCTATTATAGCTGTTGGGAAAATGGCGAAATTTTTTCGCATAATAAGAAGCGCGCAATGTCGACGCATGCGCACTTACACGACGTACGCGGTCGTATATAAACAGAAAAATCGCGCCGTTTGGACCACTAGGTTAGCTCGCTCCCGCTCGCCAATCACACACATTCTTGTTTTGCCTTCTATTCGCAGGGAGTTGCAAACAAAAAAACATGCGTGCAGCTTCCTCCCAAGTGACACCACGAGGAGGTTGAAGGCCCATAATGGGACAGTCTCAATTCATACACACACAGAGATGACTGCCCCACAATGTCGTCACTCACAAGTGGAATCACACCACACAAATATTTTGCCTATATAGAAAGTTATCCGAGCCAGTATTTACTGTATGAGTTTGTATGGTTCTGTCCAGGCAGTGTGAATCCACCGTGAAGAGTGGATGTTATTAGGTACCCACTTACAGGTCAGCGACAGTTCTGCACATAAAAATGTGCACAAGGGCTTTAGTAAAATACACACTGGCAGAGGGCATATTTTCACTGTCAACTTTGTTACCTGCTAGTTGGTACAACACACATTATCCATTGGACATCCACTCTTCAAAACATACAATTAATGCAGTGTCCAACAGAATGACAAAAGTATACATCGGAAAATAACATTGAAAAATGCACCAAAACAACCCGAGTGTGGAGATCTCCAAGCAACAACTGACTCAGGTGCAAACATACCTGAGTGCGGAGATCGATCCTAGCAACAGCTCACTCAGGTTCACACATAACCAGAGTGTGGAGAAACTCCTAGCAACAGCTCACTTGGGTGCAAACATACCCGAGCGTGGAGAATCCCCTAGCAATGACTCACTCGGGCTGGAACACGCAAAAGCACAATACCCACATTTTACACATCACATTCATGGGAGAGAGCACAGGGCATGACCTTTGAACTGTTACATAAGAGGCTTTAGAAACCATTGTTATCC